GAGGCCGGCCGCCCGCCCCGAGAAGGAGGCCGCGGCGGCGGAGGCGAGGCCGGCCGCCTGCCCCGAGAAGGAGGAGGTGGCGGAGGAGGAGGCAGCAGCAGCGAGGCCGGTCCTTGCCCGCCCTGCCTTCCTGCCTCCCTGCCTGCTGGCTCGCTCGCTCTGAGGAGGCGGCGGCGGCGGAGGCGAGGCCAGCTACAGAGCGTCTCCTGCGCACGCGCAGGAGACGCTCTTGTACTTTCAGGGGGATTTAAACATCCCCCCGAGATTTTTTTCAACGTTTTATATTTTTGTGCACACGTGGGGACTGGCCCACGTGTGCAAAAACCTCCCCCGGCCCCCCAACTGCCCCCGGAGCGTGATCTAGCGATCCGCACTCCAGGGGCAAGTTGGCTATTAGATATATAGATTCCTGGTGGCAGCTGGAACGACCTATTTTATAAACATAAAGTATAATTTAAAGTGAAGTTCAGTCCTCCCCAATAGGAGGTCGTCACACACCCTGATAAGCAAGGTGGAGCAAGGGGGGGGGTCCTCGTCCATGCAAAACTGAGTTTTAAAAAGTATTATGCTTAGTCCCAGAAGGCGACCGGCTAGGTATGTTCAGTAGGCCAGCATGATGCAAGGGCCTGCAAAGGAGACGTGGAGCCAGTTTATATATCACCTTTCCAAATTGACTGGGATGAACATGTAAACTAGTCAAGTGTTGGCCAAGTAGGAGCCTCTTGACTGTATTCAGAAACCGAGGTGTGCATGACTGCCCTCTCATTATCTATGGCTTGCAAATGGAAGCCTATTTATCTTGCACTTTATTGTCAGTTTGTCCTGTTCTCTGTTTGTTTTCTTTTTAAAAATATATATTTACGTTATTTCACTGTTTTTGTTTCTGATTAAGGGAGCATTGACTCTCAAAAGCTCATACCTTGAAAATCTCGTTGCTCTCTAAGGTGATACTGGACTCAAATTTAGCCATCATTTTGTTTCTTTTGTCATTATGGTACCTTCCTCGATAGCCCTAAGTGGTGTGGGACTATCACACCTGAAGTGCCTCTCCTGCTACAATCCCCCATGTTGTCTGTGCGCTTCATCACACAATCTTTGGTTGGTGCTCAGCCCTCGAATGGCTTACTTCTCCTCTTCCTGTGCAAGGGACTTCTTTGTGGTGGCCCTGTCCTGGTGGCATGCTTTAACTGAGGGCATACATGCCCTGTGGGGACTTATTAGCTTCTGCAGGGCTTATAAGGCCGAGCTCTTCCAACAGGCTTTTAATTAGTCGTCACAGATGTCTTGTGATTTTTGCATTACTTCCACTGGATCGTTTTACTGTTGGGTTGTTGGATGCAGCTACTTTTAACAAGAGATTTATATGGTTGGTTTTAAATGGTGGTATATATTTATTACTATTATTACTTTAAAATTGTTTATTGAATAGTATTTTGGTTTGATGAAAGCCACCCCAAGCCTCACTTGTCAAGGAAGTGGTGGGGTATACATTTGGTAAATACATGAAATAAATGGTCCTCCCTCAGAGGTTCTTATCCCAGTATCCCATTTTGATTAATCACATTGCTTCATATTAGTTTTAGTACTTTAATGGCTCAGCATCTCTGATGCTTTCTCACTGGGCAGATGGTGGGCCCCACACATGCCAAGTGAAGACACCAGACAACAATCTGGGCTCAGCTAAGGAGAAGACAACATTGACCTTGAAAGCCAACAGTTTGTCTCAAAACAAGGCAGCTTCCTGCACTCCGGACTTTCAGAAGAGGGACTGTGGTTCAGTGTTAGAACATTCTACTCTGCATGCAGAAGGTCCCAAGTTCAATCCCCAGCATCTCACATTAAAAGAATCAGGTAGGAGGTAAATTGAAACCTGTGAATCTGGAGAGTCACTGCCAGTCAGAGTAGACAACATTCCCTCTGACAGACGCTCCAACTCAGAATAAGGCAGCTTCATGTACTAAAGCGCTCTGGGAGATGACAGCAGCAACAACTCGGGTGTATGTTTCTCTGAAAGTAAGACTGCCTTGTCAGGGAAGTGGAGAAGGTGGATTATGAATGTCAAAAATACAATAAAGAATTGTGCAAAGAGAGGCCAGCAGGGAGACTATCTGTCTGAGGGCTCAT